AAAGTGGCTTAAAAAGAATTATTGACATGGAGACCTCATGCAGCCAGTAAACTGAATGATTTGATGGATTCTACAAATACAAGATGATTATCCAAAGTCCATTTCAAACCTTGGAAATAAAACTTAATATATTCTTGGCATTAGCATGCTTATTTGATTCTATTTCTATTATAATGAGAAAAACTGTAGGAAGTAATTAGGTGTCTAACATTTATTCCAACATTTGTCCCGGATCATTTTAGGCTTGGCTGGAGAGAGAGATACTTTGGACAAAGAATGTGAAAAGAGAATTGCATGCTGGGGATAGCACAATATCCCTTAGTTTCTATTATTAAGATTTGATAAACTGGTAACATTTTTTCAATCACAAAATCTGTTCTCCAAATTAATCATGAAAACTTCTCCACCCATAATAATTCATTTTCTCAGCAGCAAAAGTTAGAAGATGTTATTTCTCGGGGCCGGCAGGTGGCACAGTGGTTAAGGATGCTGGACTCCCACATGGCCAACCACGGTTCATGTCCCAAACCTAGCGGCTTGCTTTCTCACTTTCTCTCTCTCTCACCCTGTCTCTCTCTCTGGTCAAATTAAAATGAATAAATAAGTAAAGTTAAAACAATTCTTTTTAAAAATGATGTTATTTCTGTTATGGCAGATTTAATCAAAGCTCTGGGCTACTTATCTTTACTATGTATGACTACAGTAAAGCATTCATGAAAAATAGCAATTGTATGTGAAGTGGGAAGGAAGGGGAGAAGGGTATAAAGTACTTCCTTCTTCCCCTTAACATAAACTTAAACAAGACTGCTAATTTCTCATGTATTTTATTGATTTCAAGCATCTTAACTAATTTTAGCTTTTGCCTCTTCTTCATAAAAGATATTGCTTGCAAGTGTAGTGTTACAATTATACTATGCTCCATATACCTGATTAAAAAAAAAATACGATTTTATGTTTCATTACTGACACTCACTTGGATACCAAGACATTGCATTTGTCTATGGGAGTACAAATAGTATGGATCAAAGGTCCAACTTAGCATTGGAAGTACTACTTCCACATTTACTTCTAGAAGTGGTATTGTGGGAACCAGCAGTTAGCGTAATGGCAATGTCGCTGGACTCCCACGTAGTCGACCGCGGTTCACATGCTAGACCCGGTGGCTTAAAACTCACGCTGGGTGCGTGTTCGTGCGTGCCCAAGATCCCGAGAGGAGAACGAAGGAGAAGGGATTGCGGCGTGACCATCCCCCCTGGGGGGTGATTTCTCGCTTTCTGTCTCTATGTCTCTCTCTGTCTGGTGAGCACACGCGCCCTATAGTGAAAACCTCTCAAAAAAACCCCCAAAAAACAAAAAACAAAAAAACCACAAAAGAACAAACAAAAAAAAGTGATATTGTAAGTCCTATCGTGTCATCTTTCAACAAATTTATCCCCTCAGCTGCCATATACACTTTTTTGAACTCTGGTTCACACACAGAAAAGCAGTAGTCATGTGGCTCTGTGAATATTACCACTGTTCCTGCTCTTCCTGCCCTCGGGGTGGCCGTGGTAGAGTGAGGCTAGCCCCTGTCCAATCTTAGAGCTGCAGTTGTTCTCAGTCATTTTTTTTTTTTTTTAACAGTGGTATGTTTCCAGAGTTATCGGCAAACAATAGGAAAGATCATTAATATTGGTCAATGAAGTGACTAATCATTTAGATGAAACATTTCTAAAGTGTTGGATTTAATATTAGTAAGATCAAAAGTTCTCTATTTCTTGTTAAGTACTAAATAATCGATCATCTTATATGAATGCAGTGTTTAAGAGCAGTAATGTGTTGGAATACTGTGAATTCTCAACATTCCTACAGAATGAAACCAATAGTCATTCAAATATATGCTGACCTTAGTAGTTTGAAAAAAATTCTTTTTAAAGGTTTTAGATTTTTTTTCAGACCATATGAATCTGAATTACTGAATATCATTTTAGGAATGGGTACAATGAAGATGAAATCTGTTTTCTCTGCAGGTATTTAGCTAGTGATATATTTGATGTATTTTTTTTCCTTTTATTTCTTCTTCTTTAATCCAATTGGGATAGAATTGGTTCATCAGCATTCAATCCACAGCATCCTCATCCCAATCCAGTCCGATCGTTCATCTCCAATAATTCTTCAGTCTCATTCTTTCTGACAGTGGTAATATTCTAATTAATAAAGTCTCATGAGGTGTTATCAGCATTTATATTCAAGTTAAGCAATATACAATTCCATCCTGCTTATGAAGTTCATTTCCACAGAAAACTTACTGTTGTCAGGGGTTTTATTCCTGTTGCCGGCTAAAATCCAGCAGCATTTCTGAGCATAGGTGAGAGGCGAAACAGAGGGAGGAACGGAGTTTATTTAGCTGTGTTCATGCACAGGGAGTGGCTGAGAAGAATCAGCCCCACAACAACTCCCAGAACAGTGATTTCCAGCATGTTATAGTTCCACTGCTCTTTTATCTGTCGTTATCTGTAATATAAATTTAGCTAGTTCAGTGATGTTCTTACCCTCACAATTTCCCCCAAATTATTCTGTGCACCTTTTCTTTTCATGTGATGTTTATCACTCTATGCTTTTTCACTAAATCTGTTAATTCGGACTATGACATATGCTGGTATGTTAAGGGAAGTTACAACATATATATATATATATATTTTTTTTTTAAT